TGTTGTATGAATCATCTATTGAAGTTTATCTTTTTTGTCATGCAATTTTGAGAATTATTTCTGATTTTACTCTAGCATTGGATTAGTTCTGTGAGAATATTTTTGTTGATCTTAGTTTTTTTGAAGAACACAGTTATTTTCAATGCCACAAGATGGCATTTGATAGAATTTGTATTTGGAATCTGAAAAGAATAAGCTTAAACATCTATAATACTGACAATTTCTGTGTATTGACTTCATAGCTATCAGAAAATCCCAAGCTATGGGATGATACTTGAATAACTACTTTGTTAGAGAAAAGCAGTATTTTTTTCAGTTTGGTGTTAAACTATTTGTTTGTGTATAATTATACTCACTTTTTAGATGCTAAAACCTGCTCTGCTTTTAAAAATTGTAGTAAGAATATAGAAATGGATTTTTTTTTTCATTCTGAGTGTGTATGTGGAAAATGAAGACTAACATAGGAGACTTGTGAAAAGATACTCCATGAACTCCAGTAATTTATCCTGTGTATGACATTGGAACTGAATGCATGCGAATCCCAGGAGCATAATTGTAGTAGTTCTTAAAAACTAATTATGTTTACTGGATTCTGTAAACTATTTGGTATTTGAAATTTATTTTTTGGAAGTGAAATATTGTGGAAATCAGTTTCTCTTGCCCTTTACAATGCAAGAATGTGTTGCCTTCAGACACTGAACAATAGGTAGGATAACTAGTTTTTTTCTTTCCCCTGTTCAGAGTGTGTTGGTGGTAACAGTGGTACATTTCTTTAAATTTCAGGCTGTTCTTGAGCACCTTCACTCTAGCAGTTTCAGCTGGTGCAGTCCTGCTTCTGCCTTTCTCAATAATCAGCAACGAGATCCTGCTTTCTTTTCCACAAAACTACTATATTCAGTGGTTAAATGGCTCACTAATTCATGGTTAGTACTCAGCATGATGTAATTAAAATGGATGTCTTCATTATACGTGCACAGATATATTCTCATTTTCAAACTAATAACCCCATTTTCACTTAAGATTCTAATTGAATTGTTAATATGTTATTGGCCAGTTTTTTTTGCTGCTGTGTGATATATCACAAAAGTCTGTCTTAACTGTTCTGTTGGGTTGTTTAAGAAATTACACAGGCTTGATGGAATTAAACCAATTTTACTGCTTTGAATATTAATGTGGAATAAGAGCTACTAGAAGCTAACTTGAAAACACACTGTTCAAACTTCATCATGTGTTAATGCAAGATTCGTAAGCCTGCCTGTTTATGACGATACATATAGATTTAGTCTCAAAATAAAAAGTTTTGAGAAACTTGCTGCCTGTGAACAGTTGGGATTAGGTAGTTAAATTCAACTGTTAGTGATTTATTTGTCAACAAGGAAAATTACAGAATGCAAGTATTGAGTGTGGTAAAGAGGCACAATAAAAATGAACTGTTTCAAGCAAAACAAGATGCAAGAGAAGAATATTACTTGTACTTGCACCGATAGTGGCTTGATGTCTGGCAGAGTGAGTTTTGCATCCTTTCCAGTACTGGTTAACATGCTTACGACTGTGACATGTGTAATGGATACTAACGTTTGAAAATAATTTGGACTCTTCTGTGTGTCTAAGGGAAATAACTGGTGGAAACAGGACATTTTTTAGTAGATTTTGCTGGGGAAAGAAGATAATACCTTCACTCTGTGAAACATTTTATTTAATCTGGAACAAATAATTTAGAAGTTAACTGTGCTGTCCTTTTCCTGTTCTTGTGAAGAGATGGTAGTTGGGCTTTGAAGGATTTTTCTCTGAAAAATGTACTCTTGTTGCTGTCTGCTAATGCTCACAGACAGCAAATTCATGAATTCCAGATCCACATTTTTTTTTTACATCAAATTAAATGTGTATAGGTGAAGACAGGAAATGCTGCATATTGCCTGTCATCTGACAGTAAAATTCTTTTTTTTTTTTTTTTTTTAAACCCCAAACAAAACCTTGAATAAAGAGGAGCTGACTGTAGGTGTGGTGGTCAATGATGACTCTGACTGTGGTGATGAAGTAGTTGGAGACCTGAGAAAAGCGAGGAAGGAAAATAGTAGAATAAAGGCGTTAGATTTTCAAAGAGTAGACTGTCCTCTTCAGGAATTGTGTTTGTGGGACCTTACTGGAGAAGGCTCTGAAGGCAAAGGAAGCCAGGAGGGACGCTTACTTTCAAGGGTAATCTTCAAGCACCATAATGTGCACCTTGGCATGCAAGAAAATGAGCAGGTGCAATAGGAGATCAGCTTGGCTTAGTGGGGAAGTCCTGAGCTCAAAACCAAAAAGAAAGTGTACAGAAGGTAAAAGTAGGGATGAAATCCCAGGAAGGGGGTAGAGAGATAACAGCTGGGTTAATATCCTGGTGTGAAATTAGGAAAGCCAGGGCACAGCTGAATTTGCAACTGGTGAGGGGTTTGTATGGAGCCCGCTCTGGGCATGCAGTGAGAGGCAACAAGTAACGTCTGCAGGACGTAAAGCGACAGTTCTTCACAGTGGGCATGGCTGAACACTGGAGAAGTTTGGCCAAAGAGACTGGGAGATCAAAGTCCTTGGAAATTCTCCAAAACTCAGCTGGCTAAAGCCCTGAGCAACCTGGTTGCACCTGAAGTTTAGCTGTTTTAATCACAGAATCTTTAAGCAACAAATCAGGCGACATGACTTTAGAGATTCTTTCAGGTTATTCTGTCATCTGTTTTTGCACATCCTGGGGGACAGCTAATTTGGTATGTCTCCAACTTGAAAGGAAAAAACCCAGCTAACTGTAGTTTTTCACATAGATTTAGTTGCTCAGACAGATACACTCCAGAGCATGACAAAAAAACTATTTAATGGAAAACAATCCTTCCTTCTGTGTCTGAATTGACTTTGGAAAAACTACAATAAAATGTTTCAGAGAGTGAAAGTTATATAGTAACCTATTCAGAAATTTTCACTCTGTCAGAGTTGCTACAGTACTTGGGAAAACTTGGGTTAATGGGAAATCTGCTGGAAAAAGTAGCTGTCACATAGGAACGCCTTTGAATTTTCCAGTGACCATCTTCTGGTTTTATTGTGATCATCTTTTGAAAGTACCGCTTTATACATGCACAGTGTAATGTGTGTTTCGTAAGTCCAATAATAATGGATAGCAAGCAAGTAAATTCAGCATCTTGTTGTTTCCAAGTTTGGCTGTGTATTGCAACGCTTACGCTGGGGGTAGACGTGACTGAACTAAACCAGGATTCACCACAGTTGGTGTGAGGACTCCAGAAACAGCAGCAGATTTTGGATCTGACCACGGGCTCCTGTTACTGCAGCGTGACGAAAAAGCAGGGTACCTAACCCGCAGCCGTTACCTTGGGGAAGCGCTCCATCTGGTGGTGTTCGCTGGGTCTGCACGGGGGCATTGCGCCGCGCTGCAGAAACCCCTTCCGTGCAGGGGCAAGAGCTCTCTGAAATTACGAAAGACCTGTGCGAGTTTCGAGAGCTGACCGTGCTGTCGTAAGCATTCAAGTTCAGAAAATGTTCGTATCCCCATAATACTCTGTCTGGCATAGCTTTCAGGTGCGGCTTGCTTGCTGCTTTGAAAATGTTATCAAATGGGAAAATTGGCATGACTCTCGAACACGTCGGTTGTGCTAGGTTTATCAGTTACAGCTACAGTGAGGTACTTGAACATAACATGAAGGGGTTTTATGTGGTAGGCTGTTGCATTAGTTGTGGCATATAGAAAATCTATGCCTCTAATTTTTGAAACTAGACAGAAAACCCATACCTGGGTCCAGTATAAACACTCTTACCTAATGCGTGTTGAACTAAACCCCGAAATACTTCCGAGAGCCTGATGTTGCCTTGTGCTGTTGTTGGATACAGCCAGCAGGTGGAGGTAAAATGTAATGAAACTGCCATGAGGAAGGAAGAAGAAAAATTGCGGAGGGTCTAATCTGTTTGCCTAAGGCTGAAAGACTTTAATTTTTATGTTTTATTAACTTGTTTTATGGGGGATATTCTTAGGTCGCTACAATGCAAAAAAAAAAAAAAGTTATCATATTCCAACAGACTGCTTAAAGCTTTTATATATGTTGATATCTACAAGTCTCTCTCATGCAATTTTATGATGCAGTCAATGTAGTAGGAAATAATTATTTTTCAGAGTATTTTAATATGATTCCTGAAATATCAAATTAGCAAAAGAAATACAGTTGAGGGAAGAAGAGGGCCCTGTATATTCCTTACTTTGAGGGAAGTGTATATGTATGTCAGCAGTGGTACACCACAATCCTCACCTCTCATAACTTTACACACATGTTGTAGCTCTGTAATTTAATATTCTATAAATCTGGTTCCTACCAGCTGCTAATGTGTAGATTTTTGGATTTTAACTGCTTAAAAATCACCCCAGATGTGCCCCACTCTCCCCTCCCTTAAAATGCTCTGTACATACTATGCAGCTCCTAAACACTCTGTTACGTTATAGATACACGTGTAATGGAGCTGCTGAAATTAGGACAACCGGGTATTCAGCTTTACGTCAAGTGACTGAATGCGCTGTGTGTTTTTAGTTGGAGAAAACAAATGAAATGACGCACACCCCGATGTAGTAGTATTTCTATTCCTGGAAAAAAGGAAAAAAAAAAAAATTTACATGTTAACTCAGAAGTGCTTGAGTTAATGTACCTCTAGTAGGGGCTGTTAATGACATTCTTGCTGATGTTGCTATGTGTGAATGTTCCTTGAATGGTAACAGGAGCTTCCCGCCAAGCAAATTCAAAAGAAAAGATCCTCGTCTTTGTTAACTGGAGTTTAGCCACCTTTAGGCAGTCTGTTTTCTTTAGCAATGGAGTATTGTATTTCACGTATCTTTGGGAATTTTCTTGTTTTGTTTTCTGTAGCTTATTTGGCTAAGTTTGGTTCTTGGTGTCCCGGTGCTGTCAGTTGCTGAAGAAGTAGATTTCTTGCCCACTCCCCCCCCCCCCCCCCCCCCCCTCTTTTACTCGCACCCCCCTTCCCACCCTGTTTTTATTTCTCTCTGAAATTTTATTTCATTTAAAGAAAAAAGTAAGTATATATGGTGAAAGCATTTTTTTAAAAGGGGTGTAGGTGAAGAGAACTGCTAACTGTTTTACATTTGGGGCTGAATACAGGAGTTTCTCTCAATAAGGAATACCCCAGACATGCAGTAGATGTCTCTTTCCTTCCATATTCTTTCCAAAATGGGAATTTCAAAGAAGACGACGCACAAGCTTGTACATGAGAAGAAAGAAATAAACAAAGCTGTTAGTTTAAATTTTCTTATCACGGGGAATGTTCTTCTTTGGATTTCAGGTGATATAATATAGTCCTGCAGAATTGTGGAAATGTGCATGTTCTGCGGAAGGTGGGGGACTAAGCTTGTTTTTTCTCAACTACAAAATAAAAGCTGTGGTTTCAGGATGCAGCACATGCGACACTGGTTAAACCTTTTATCTGCAATTTAGTACTAGGGAAGCTAAGTTTCTGCTTTTACAAAGAAGAAACACCGCATCCTGCACAGCTATTGATGGGATGATGATGGTTCATGTTTATGCACCAGAAACTGGCTGTTCAGAAAGTGTTCAGCTTAGAAGATGTTAATAGAGCAGATACCCTTAATGGAGATCGGTTATCACTTCAGGTTGTTTTCTAAACCTTTTTCCTTCCTGCCGATGTCACATGTGTCTTACAGATGTCCTAGTTTTAGTCAGTTGTTGATTTCCCACCTAGATTGCAGAATGGTGGAGGTTGGATGGGACCTCTGGAAATGGTCTAGTCTGGTCCCCTTGCTCAAGGCAGGGTCGGTTAGAGAAGGCTGCTCAGGGCAGTGCCCAGTCAGGTTTTAAATAAGAAGAGGATGGAGATTACAAAACCTCTCTGGACAGCCTGTTGCAGTGTTTGACGGCATTCACAGTGGGAAAAGGTGTGTGGTGTTTTTTGGGTTTTTTTTTTTATAGTTAGGTTGGATTTTTTTGTTTTCAGTTTGTGCTCATTGTGTCTTCTCCATTCACTGGATGCCACTGTGAAGAGTGCGATTGTTTTCTTTTCCCTCTCCCTTGCTAGATATTTATATACATTGATGAAGCCCTCTCCTCTCAAGGCCAAACAATTCCAGCTTTCATAGCCTCTGCTTCTGTGACAGATCCGTTAATCATCTTTCAGCATGTCCGTGTCTGTCTTGTATGGAGGAGCCTGCAACTGCGTGCAGTGCTCCAGATGTGTGCCACCAGTGCTGTGCAGAGAGGAAGGGTCACCTCCCTCGGCCTGCTGGCAACACTTCTCCTAATGTAGCCCAGGATGCTGTTGACCACCTTTGCAGGGGCACGTTGCTGGTTTGTGTTCAACCTGGTGTCCGACAGAACCTCTATGGCCTTATTTATGAAGCTACTTTTGGAACGACTGGCTCCCAGTGTGTGCTCTACCCATTTGGCCAGCCTGTTGAGGTTCATCTGAATGACAGGCCACTGCTCGTCCCCATCTTGTAGCTTCAGCAAAATTGCTGAGGATTCAGTCTCTCCCACCGTCCAGGTCATTAATGAAGATGTAAAACCTAATATCAACCCCCTGGGGTACACCACTGGTGACTGATTTCCAGCCTGATGTTGTACTGCTGGTCATAACCCTTTGAGCCTGGAAGCTCAGCCAATTTTCAGTTGACTTAAGAGTCCACTTACCTAGCCCGTACTTGATTAGTTAGTCTGAGGAGGTTATGGGAGATGATGTTGAAAGCCGTACTAAAGTTGAGATAAACAACATCCACTGCTGTCCTTTTGCCCACTGATCCTGTCATCTCATCGCGGAAGGCTGCTGTTGCTGTTACCATCACATCTTCTAATTTAGAGGTGATGATGGCATTTATGTATTGCTGATGTCAAAATCCCTGATTTGTTGAAGTTTCTCTTGAGGAAAAAAATATCGTAGTGAGTACGCAGAACCGAATTTCGTGAGATTCACTGATGGTAGTAAAATACTTTTGATTGGAAAATTTTTTAAACAATTACCTAAAGAGGCTGAAGTGGGATATTGTGGAAACGGTCCACCGGAGTTTGCAGTCTGTCTTCCAAGACTTCAGACAATTTCTGCTGTTTAAGCTGAAATCTGATTTTTATTTGAAGATCATTATGCAGAGAAATGGGTGTGTTTCAGCAATGACTTTATCCATAAAAACCTGACTTCTGCTAGGACTTGTATGTATGCTACATTATTATATGTAAAAATGTAACAGCTTTAACTTTTAAAGCTGAGAAACCTGTAATGTAAACTTTTTCTTGTTTGTTGCAGGTTTATGGAATCTTGCTTCTCTTTTTTCAAATTTATGTTTGTTTGTGTTGATGCCTTTTGCCTTTTTCTTCCTGGAATCGGAAGGATTTGCTGGCTTAAAAAAGGTAGGAAAATACTGTTAAATACAGAGCAATTACAGAACATAATCAATTTTCAGCCCTTGCTTCTGATGAAATTGAAATTACTAATTTGGGAGGATTTGGCACTGGGATGCGTATGCTGATGTGAATGTTTATGTACAGATGTGCACCCTTGCACAAGCAGGTGAAGTGAGTATACAGTGTGTGGCTGTGAGTAAACTTAAGGGGGGAGGGGAAGTCCTTGAAAAGCCGTCCATACTGAGATCAAGAAAATTACTTAACTCATCTTTTTTTTTTTTTTTTGCTTTTAAATAATGAAATGTTGTAACTGAGATTTTATTTTTTGGAAAAAGATTTTGTTGGCATGCTCAAAGGAGAGAAGGTTCAATAAGTACACTAGAAATGAAATAGCAAGGGAAAGAAGTACAGGGTTCTTACTAATGGGAGGAGTGATGAAATAACAGATGACCCAGAGAAAACAAGCTTCATTTGTGAATTGTAAAGATTACAGACATCCCAAAAAAGGTTCAGATGTGGTCAGTATTGATAATAGTTTAAGAAAACTGTCTTAAAAGGTAGAGAGTAACTAAAAATATTGAACTCAGTTGAATATATTCAAGTTGAGAGGGCTGAATATTTATTTCAGTGAGGCATCTAATTTGACAAAACAATTTCTGAACAAAAAGATAACTATTATGTGTGAACTAAAGAAAGATAATGAAAAGTTACTATAATGGGAGGCACAGTAAAAGGAATTTCAAATTATATATAGCAAATAAATTCAACTGGAATGACTGACTGGGGACCAGTTGTAGCACATTTTCATTAATCTTTACTGTCCACATGATTACACTTTTGTTTTTAATGATATTACACTGGAGGGAATTCCACGCCCTTTGGATGACAGTTACTAGAAAGCAAAGGAACTTAAAGTGGTCTGAAATCAGGAAAATGAAATGCATTAAAGATGGATGCAGAAGACTGAGTCATGGGTGGACTGCATGTAACATAAATCAATAAGGGGATGGTTGTGTGGGAGGGAAAACATAATTCCTGGTTGCTTTGGCAGGAATGTGGCATGGAGGCAATGAAGTTGCCATTTTTGTTCTTGGTGGATGTTCTTGGTGGAATTGGGGAAAACTCAAGTGAAGTACTGCATCCAATTTGGGATTTTAGGGTTCATGCGGACACTTAAGAGAAAAAACAGAGGACAGCAAAGAAAATAAGATACAAAGTATAGCATGAATGAAAATTTTAATTTGGAAAGAATAATGTGAAGAAACAAGAGATTTTATTCTATAGTTGAAGCTACTGGGAGATTACATAGACTGAGCAATATAGCGGTGTCAGAAAGGACCTGGAGGACCCAGGCAAGATGGTGTGTAAACACTTGTTTGGTGTAGCCTGTTCTGAGCTCGTTGATGTTACTGCAGTCTTACTTTGTATTGACTGAATTGTAGATGTCTCCATGTTACTTCAGGTAGAAGTTTGGATTACCAAGCTAATGAGTTCAACTTCAAAGGAGTCTGGTGGTAGGCTAAGTATTTTCCATACCCCTATGTTTAACTCTGTTTGTCCAGCTGGGCTGGAAAAAAAACTCTCCTCTCCTCTTTTTCCTTCACTTCAGGTATCTGCAGGGCTAAGAAAACTTTCAGTGACTCAGTTTGTCCTTTCAGTTTTCAGGTGCAGGCTGCTCCATTTTCCTCTTGATTCTAGGTATCTAGCCTCAGCTAATGTAGATCTTTGCTTTTAAAAAAGAAAAAAGTTAACTGATTTTAGTGGGATTTGTCTCCTGCAGTCCAACCAAACCCAAGGGTTCTCTCCATTAGCGTACCGTATGTGGTACTGTTGGTGTGTTCCCTTGACTTGTAGATTTCTGTTGGCTCAAGCAGATGCATTATGTATCCTAGCTGTGTTTAACTTGCACTTTACATGAAACTGTAATAGTTATAGCATAACTTTAGAACTTACAATACTGGCTATTAATAAATCCCATTCAGGATAAATAGGATCAACCATTGCATGTTTACACTTGGAATGGAAGCATTTGTAACTCCAAATGAGAAGGAACTGTAATCTGTCTACAGATGTCAGGAAAAAGATGATTGTTGGTGCTGCAGAGTAGTTTTGCTTCTTCATGGGGGTACATGAGATCAGATTTTAGTATCAAACCCCACATATTGTGAGAGGGGGAAGAACCCCAGTTTTTGGGATGTTTTGTTACTTTGACTTCTGGATGTTTTTGGTACAGCCCAGAAGCAAGATGTGATTCCTAGTACAGGTACTCAAGGCCTTTATCCAATGTCTGTTCTACCTGGCTGCTCTTGTTTGAAAGTATACAAGATGAATGCAGGTATACACTGAAGTGTTTTACCATCTTTGAGCGAGCCCTTTAGCTGTTGGTGAAGATGTAGGAATTGTAGTCCATTTTTATATGAATGCACCTTGTCTTTGGTTGCTTTTTGTAGAAAGTAAGTGATAAATGTCACTTTGGGACTAAGTTGATAGTTAAAATTCAGTGTGCTGTTCCGTTCAAATTCTGATGCACGTAAATGATTCTACTTGCAACAAGTACTATGTATTTTTGAAGAGTTACATCACATAATAGGGTGATTGGAATCTGGGAGAGTTTGTGCTTGATTGAACTCGGGATTGCACAAAAGCTTTTCGGTTGTAGAATCCGTGAAGGGTACATCACGTCTTTTTTTTACTTTCCTTAGATTATGGCATGTTGCTTATGTCTTTTCAGAGAAGATTTTGAGAACGTGATTGCCTTGTAGAATTCTGGTACTTTAACAAGTTTTGATTATACATGTGCAAGTTTAAAAAAAACTGTCATATTTTGTCATTTGTCACATCAGACTAATGGGCCATAGAGATAAAATATCGTTCAAATGCTGTTACTGTTAACTATCTAAATTTGTTTTTTACTGATCTCAACTTAAAAGAACATTTCATACATTTGGCAAAACTTGCAATGTTTTAGAACTGTAAATGTGAGGACATTCAGTAAGGAGGTTGGACACGGGATATGTGATCTTTAATCTTTCATCTTGAAGCTGCAGTTGATTCTAGATACCTGCTCAGCTCAAAACTTGGATGAAAAGACTGTTTTGGTGGAAACTTTCATACAGATGATCATGAATTTGTCATAGAATCATCTTTATTATGATGAATAAATAGGTCACTTGAGAGTTAGGTGTGCACAATCAAGATATCTATTTGAAGGTGTATGCGTAAGAATTATTTGCTGGATTTTAATAAAAGTTCTGAAAATGATTAAAAGAGGTTCAGTTCTGAAATAGGATGGCTCTTTTCATTTTTTCATGTATTTCTTTGTTCAGCTTAAATTGCGAGAGTGAGGTTAGTCATTATCACATACAGGTCTAACTCCCAATGTTTTTAGCCATTTGAGTGTTTATCATAGATTATGCTATAAAAGTTGATTTTTATCTGTTCACTGTAATAGGAACTTTTTGCAAGCTATGATACTTCAGATAGCTCATAGGTTACTATTATGAGCTTTGTATAACTTTTCTTTCCGTGTTTTTGTAAGGAACTATTGCCCCCTTAACAGTTTGAGTTTCATGAATCTGAATGGGTTTGATTAACCATCTTCCAGTTTACTATGGCTTTTTTCTTGGTTGCTAGTATACTTTCTAAATGGCACATGGCCCCTCTTACAGACTCGTTTCAATTCCCCAGGGCAACTGTTTAAAACAACTGAGGACTTGCATATTGTGCAGAGGAGAGAAATACGGAAATTAAGCACTCGCCATGGACGGATGCAGTGTTGTACTGAAAATCAAATTGATTTTCTGCCTAGTTTTTAATTACAATCACTATGTTAATTCAAAAAGGGCATTTTGGGCCTAAGGGGGTTGATCATGCCCTTTTAAAGAGCTTAAGTGCTCTTCCTTGCCATAGCTTATTTCTATTTAATGGCAGTTGCAGATGTCTGTTCTCAGAAAAATAATTATAAAAGTAATATTGCTGGTGTATAATATGTGTATATCTTTGTGTATATGCATACACACAATGTGTGTATTTATGCACACATTCTTTTTGCCTTCTTTTGCAGAGTCTGTGCATAAAGCTATGTCTTGTTTAGATATTCTTTTGGTGCTTTGTCAAATTGTGTAGTACAGTTATGAAACAAAGGTGTCAACGAAGTTCCTTAATGTCAGAATTAACCTCATTCTCTATCATTCCTTTCAAAAAAGGAAAATTGTGGTATCTGCAGTTGAGCATCTGTAGTTCACAGCGCCGACGTTTCCATGTGTGGTAACAGACTGCACAGAAAACTAGATGTGTGCTGCTGAGTGAAGGAGGCAAGCATTTTTGAGGAGATAATTGCTGTACCTTTTCTTGACCTTAAAATATGCTTTCTCTTGATGTAACTTCAACTGAAATTTGTATTTGTTTGAAGTTGACAAAGATAAAGATGTTTAGGAGTAATTTCCTTGTAAGAAAATACAAATAGTGCAATTTACCGCCGTGAGAAACTGGAATGACTAGGTATTGCATCATCACGAGTGTAGAGTTTTAAAAAGACTTTATGAAGTATTTTACCTTAATACTGATCTTTGAACTTGAAGTCATGGCATAAAGTTTAACATGAGCGACAGCAACATCCTGACCAATTATCCAAATTATCCAGACATCCCAAAATGTTCAGAACACAACACACAGAGTCTGTGGATTAAGAGGTTAACTCCTAGAACATCAAAAGAAGTGCATGATAATAAAAACAAATAGTACAAAAATTTGAGGTAACTTCCTTGCTTAATTAATTAGGTGGACCAGGTGGAAGCGAAGAGGCCGGAGCTGGTGCTCAGAATGTCTATAAAGCTGAGCAACATGACAGCACAATGGAGGAGGAACAAAGATTTTTTTAATATACTTCTATCCTGTGTCACAGTTTGAAATTGTCCTGGTTTATGTCCCTTTTGGCAAACTTACATAAAAGTGACCTTGTACTGTATTTTATGACCAGATGACTCTTTTCCCAGTGGCTAATTTGT